ATAGGTGAGAAAAGAGGTGAGATCTCACCACTTCACCTAAACATTATTTTTGGATCATTTACGCTCATTATGATGAAGAAGTCATGACAAAACATTTACGCTCATTATGATGAAGAAGTCATGACAAAACATTTACACTCATGTTTGACAAATCATTAACGATGAAATCATTAACGTAAACATTTATTTCCTGTGTTGTCGTCTAAATGTCAAGACCTTCAGGTCTCGTCACACAGTGACTGTTGTCACACTTTTTCAGAGAAGTTAAATGACCGAGTGACACATGGTGACCTGGTGACTCCTTCAGTTCTTCAAAAATAATTAATTATTGAATAACCGGAAACCATTAACGTAAACATTATTTTTGGATCATTTACGTTCATGTTTGACATAGCATTAACGATGAAGAAGTCATGAAAATTCATTTACGTTCATGTTTGACAAAGCATATACGATGAAGAAATCATGACAAAACATATACGCTCATTACGATGAAGTTTCAACAAATCATTTACGTTCATTACGATGAAGAAGTCATGAAAATTCAAGACCCTTTGGGTCTCGCCGCTTAGCGGCTGAGGTGAGAAAACATGTTAGAAAATGTGTTAGATCTCACCTCTTCACCTAAACATTATTTTTGGATCATTTACACTCATTACGATGAAGAAGTTTCGACAAAGTCATTTACGATGAAGTTTCGACAAAACATTTACACTCATTACGATGAAGAAGTCATGAAAATTCATTTACGTTCATGTTTGACAAAGCATATACGATGAAGAAGTTTCGACAAAACATATACGTTCATGTTTGACAATTCATTTACGTTCATGTTTGACAATTCATTTACGTTCATGTTTGACAATTCATTTACGATGAAGAAGTTTCGACAAAACATTTACGTTCATGTTTGACAAAACATTTACGTTCATGTTTGACAAAACATTTACGTTCATGTTTGACACATTCATTTACACTCATTACGATGAAGAAGTCATGACAAATCATTTACACTCATTACGATGAAGAAGTTTTGACACATTCATTTACGTTCATTACGATGAAGAAGTTATGACAAAACATTTACGTTCATGTTTGACACATTCATTTACGATGAAGAAGTTTTGACACATTCATTTACACTCATTACGATGAAGAAGTTATGACACATTCATTTACACTCATTACGATGAAGAAGTTATGACACATTCATTTACACTCATTACGATGAAGAAGTTATGACAAAACATTTACGTTCATGTTTGACAAAACATTTACGTTCATTACGATGAAGTTTCGACAAAACATTTACGATGAAGAAGTTATGACAAATCATTTACACTCATTACGATGAAGAAGTTTTGACACATTCATTTACGCTCATTATGATGAAATAGTTCATGAGAACAGTGAGGAGGTCATACATGAGAACAATGATGAAATAGTTCACGATGTCGTTCGTGAAGAAGCCATTGCAACAAAGAATGAGATAAAGGATTTCATAAAACTTAACAAGGAGGAGTTTAAAGAAGGCTATGAAGTGAAAAGATGTGAAGAAGATTTCTTGGCGTATTTGAAGAAAAAGAGACTAAAGCCAATGTCTCAAAATAAGTTTCAATCGATGTTTGAAAAGAAACGTTTGAGCTATGGTGGTGTAAGAAGCACATATTACTTTGTTAAGAAGTGAGGACATTTATTTTTGTCGTTAGTGTTGGAGTTTGTGTTTGTTGTTAGTGTTTGTCATTTGTGCTGAAGTTAGTACTTGATGTTAGTGTTGGAGTTTGTATTTGTCATTTGTGTTGAGGTTAGTACTTGATGTTAGTGTTGGAGTTTGTGTTTGTTGTTAGTGAGAGAATAAATTAAATCATGAACTTTGCCATGGTCTCTGTCCCTAGTAGTTTTCATTAAGTTCTGGAAATAATGAAAGTCATAAACTTTGCCATGGTCTCTGTCCCTAGTAGTTTTCATTATCTCACAGAATTAATGAAAGTCATACTTTCTATCAGATGAAGCATGCAGATGAACATAATGAAAGTTAGTGAGTTTGCCACGAGTTATGAATAAAATATTGGCATATTAGATGAGATAGCTGATGAAATAGATGAAGATAAATTAAATCTTGGACTTTGCCACACTCTGTCCCTAGTTCCTCAAAATCCTTGACAACGTTGCTTAGAAATTTTGGTTCAAAACCTCATCTGATTATAATCTGTTATGCTACCTGTTAAGTTTCGCGAGATTATAAATGTCATGGAGTTATATAAAAAGGAGGGACAGCTAGGGACACTGGAAGTACTTGTAAGGCTATCTGTTAAGATTGCATGAAATACTAAAAAGTCATGAAATCCATTATCGCTGTGCTAGCTTCACCTTAGAGTAAAATGACAAATAAAGTCACTGAAGCAATGAAACAAAAGTTTTTGGTAGAATACCTTAAATCAGGAACTATTCCAGAAGGTTTTTACATTCATACTATGAAAGATGGTAGAGTTCAGTTTAGAAAGATAAAGCAACCATTAGATAAAGAAGGAATTTTGAGAAAGATTAAATTACATGAAGACAACATTGCTGAACTTAAGAAGAAGTTAGAAGAGTTGGATAAAGGAAGAGAGTTATAAAGTAATGAATTCAAGTGGGTGAAAAAACAGGTGAAAAAAGAGGTGAGATCTCACCACTTCACCTAAATTTATTTTTGTGCTATGTTTTCATACGTGTGGGAGTGGTGAGATCATTAATTTTTAAATAAATGTGGGAACAAAAATATAACATTTCTACTCAGCAGGAATGAGACCCTTACTGACTATGTATTCGTTTAATGCTTGATGAAAACAATGGTACATATTATCGTATGGGTATACACAGCGTCTGTTTCCATCGTCGTCGTATATGTAGAGCTCAAATCCGGTCCAACCTTCTTTTGTACAATATGTAGCTTTATTTAAGTATGCATTTATGTAGATAAGGCAATTTTCTTCATCGCTCCAGAAATAATTTTTGTTCTTTGTTGAAATAGTTTTCGTTCCTCTGCGACCATAAGGAATGTATGCAATGAACTTTGCGTCATAAGGGATTGTAATATATTCAGGGTTTCTTTCATCGTCAATGGGTCTGTCTTTGTTAAAATGCATGTTTCTCAGTTTTACTTGAGTTTTGAATAGTTCACGGAAACGTTCTGGGAAAGAGTCATAGTAAATGTAGTCGGACATGTCTTTGTAATGAAATAAAAAATTTTAAAAAAATAAAAATAAGGTTATTTTTTATTTAGTGAGGACGGTAGTGAAGTCATTAGTGAAGTCGTTAGTGAAGTCGTTTATGTGTCAGATGGTTTTGTAAATATTTAAGGTTATGTTGGTGTTTGTGTTTGTGTTGTAAAATATACGTTACTGGTTTCGTAAAGTGTCAAAACCGCTAAGTGGTGTATGGAGGCGCGCAGTGCCACAGTACCCAACTTAGGGATACTAACTTTTATTGATTAAAAGGTTTCAAAATATTGCTCAAAATCCCGATTGTGAGAAAGAAAAAGAAGAAATTGCAAAAGAATTTGAAAATATAGAAGATTTGACAAAAGATCAAATTTTTGACAATTTACAAAAAATAAAGCATCATCAAGTGGAAAAATTTATGATGGAATCAGGTTTATCTTCAAAAAGAGATTACAAACCAGCAGATCCACCTACCAAATATCGTGCCATATCAAAGAATTTGATATGGCACTGCGATATTCATTACCTTCACGGTAATGTTTCTTTTCCATTTTTTGCCATATTGGATGATATGACACGTAAAGTTCTCAAAACTAAATTATTGAAAAACAAGTCTTCCAACTCAACAGCGAAGGTTTTAAGAAAACTTTTAGAGGAGTTTATTCCTTACTGCATCTGGACCGATAACGGCGGTGAAAACCGCGGTGAATTCGGCCAGGTTATGCAGGAAAACGGAATAGTTTGGAAGCACACCTTGCCGTATATGCCAAGACAGAACGGCAAGGTGGAGCGCCTGTGGCCAAGCTTAGAAAAGTTTTTGCCAGACGAGTTGGATGATATTCAACAAATCAAGGACTCGGTTCAGCAGTTCATTGAAAAATACACCAATACACCACATTTATCTCTCGATATTAATCCAAAAACGAATAGTAATTACACTCCTAACGAATTATTCGAAGTTTCAAAATTTTGGTACGAGCCAGAAATGCAAAAATGGGAGTTATATATCAAAGACGAATGGGTCTTAGCAAAATTTGAATAATTATATCATTTTAAATGACTACTAAACAATTTTATTTATGATCAAATTTTATATATTTTTTTGGATCAAATCCATTTTAATAGAATTTATATACTATTCATCTATTAGTAAACACTACCGTATATTATTTTTTAAGCTATCTTATTTTTTGAACTTTTATTCAAATCTTTGGTCGCAAGAAGAATTGCATGATAAATAAAAACATTTAATCAAAGTCAATTTTATTTTTCATATTCAAATGGACTGAGTGTTAACATTTACATTTTTTGCTAATTGTCGTCAAAAATTAGGCGTAAAGCAAAAATTGATATTTCATATGGTTTTATGATAGATAAGCATTATATTCCCACTCATTATATTCGTAAATTTTGAAGTTTATCCTTCGCTTTTAAGATCATTGAATTTGATTTTTATATAAAATAGTTATATATTAGAAAATAATATGAGTTTATGTGATATTATTTTTCAGAAGATTTTGTGTACTTCTTCAAAATTTTATTTTTTTATTAAAAAGAATCTTTACAAAATATACATTTACTTTAATTAATATTTAAAAACGTGCTCTATCAAAAGTTCCAAAAATTCAATATTTTAGCTTTTCTGAGGTGTCACTTTTGATGAATTTCTGTTTACAACAATACTGCATCCGAATACGGAGGTGCGATATTCTTTTATTTAACTTCTGAAGTTTACATCGAGCTCGCTCTCTTTTCAATGATAACCGCTGCAGTTTCGCTGGCGGTGCAATTGGATTGATGAATGTCGACAGCTTCAAGCTTAATCGTTGCATCTTCTCATCAAACCTTGTTAACGCTGACCAACCGGACATTCATGTTCCATACAAAGCCCGAAAACAATTTGGCGAAAACATCGATCTCGGTTTCTCTAATAAGGTTACGCCAACAAGGTTTTTGGGCAGAGGTGGTGGTGCCATAGCCTTCTTCTCCAATGACAAGAAAGGCCACCTTATCAACGGAGCCCCAACAAATGAACAAAGAACCTTTGAATCCCACCACTGCTGTTTCTATAAGGACTCATCAGCTATCACAGGCCAGACATTTGGATCGGGCGCAGCACATGAGATGTTATTAGACGGATACATCAATTATTTGTCTTATGACGATTACATTGGTAACTTTAACCCAAGTGAGTTACCTTCTCAATATGTATCACAGACATCCCGTAACTGGCCTGAAACAGCAACAACGATGAAGTTCCTTGCAAACAGATTTGAATCAGACCCAACAAAGCTTGATCTTTGCGTCGGATTCACAGATAACACTAACACATACACAGAGTCCATTAACTACACCTTCGCTTCAGCCTCCAATGATCTTACTGAGTCATCAACAAGCAGCATTCCAACTCCATCAGCTTACAGTTATGTTGCTACACCAATTACAGTCCTTCCAAGACCAACAGATGCAAGAATTACATATACAACTGCTAAGGCCAAAGTAGAATCACCATCCAGCTACTTCAAGCCATCTTTCATTTCCTTTGTTATTCCACCGCCAACACCAGTACAAACAGTTGCATCCACACCACACAGTACTCCTTATTTCACTGTATTCAGTACTGCACACAGCACTCCTCACAGTACTCCATTCAACACTGTCTTTTCCACTGCATCTAAAACTGCTTTTGAAACACCATTCAGCACAGCACATTCTACAGCTCATTCGACACCACATTCTACACCACACTCCACAGCACATAAGACACCGTTTAGTACTGCTCATTCTACACCACATTCCACTCCATTCAGTACTGCACATTCTACACCTCATTCTACAGCTCATTCCACTCCTCATTCTACTCCATATTCAACAGCACATGATACTCCATTTAGTACTGCACATTCTACTCCACACATTACTCCATTCAGTACAGTACATTCGACACCATTTATTACTGCATTCGAAACACCTGTTGAAACTGTTCATTCTACTGCACATGATACTCCTGTTGAAACTGTCTTTTCAACACCGTTTGTTACATTTGATGAAACACCATATAGAACACCAGACACTACACCAGCTGAAACAGCTGATAATAAGAAGGCTGAAGGAGGAAACACAGATAAAAACGATAGTCCTAAGAAACGTAACTGGTTACCAATCATTTTAGGTATTGTCGGTGCTCTTCTTTTGATCGGATCAATTATCTTCTTCGTTCTCTGGAAGAGAAAGAAAGATGACAGCAGCCAAGAAATTTCAGATAGTTCTATGCCAAATGTAGAAGAAGCAGAAAAGATGGAAACTTATATCAGCTCTGCTGTCACAATCACAAATGACAACCCACTTTGGATCAGTGGTTCTACAATGGAGGATCCATTCCAAGGAGATTTCGAAGAGAGAGAATGTCCAGAATCATTCCTTGAACCTTCACATCTATTGGCTGTCGAACCATCAAAGTTCCCAGTAGAATTCTAATTGAATATCGTTTTATTTATTTTTTTATGCGGCAAAATAAAAATTTTTTATGGTTTTTATTGTTCATCAAAGTCAAAATCATTTTTTTCAAAAAAAAAATACACGAGAATGCAGATTCAAAATAATTGATCTAACGTTATTTATGGAGCTGTTAAGCATAATATTGTTAAAAAACAATAATTTATTGATCGAAACTGTTATTGAAAGGCACAATCACTTCCTTCCAACCAAAACATTGTCCTGAAACTCTGGCCAGAGACTATACATAGCGTGTATATGTAGATGTTTGAGTTTGGAGAAAATTGGCTAATACAATCTTGAGTTATATTATCCTCACGAATTATCTACAGAATTCACTTACATATCGACACGAGATGATTCAGTACAAGAAGTAGATCAGTTTTCTATCATAAAATGAATCATATATCAAAATAATACAGTAAAATTGATACAATTTACAATATTGTTATAAAATTGAAGCTTACGATATTATGAACTTTATAACATGCATATCAGAGATCTCATATGTTAACTACAATTTTATAATTACGTTTTTAATCTTCTAAATTGAAGATATATTAGACTAAAAACTTGATTTATACTCTTTTTATCAGAATGTTTTATTGATTTAGCTTACGTTTATTCACAATCCAATACATTTGTTTCAAAATTACGTATTTTTTAGATTGATATTTGTGTATGAAATTATACTTTAAAATTGACCGTCAAATTCATCATATCATATGATAGGAAATAAAAGTTTGGTTCTCATCTTGTTCTATTTCACAGTTGAAAATTCAAAAAAAAATCGAAAAAAGAAAAATAATTATCAAATATTTCATTTTTCACCAGGAAAAATAGATTTTGAATATTTTTTCGAAAACCAAGATGAAGTATTATTGTCCAAACTTTGAATTTGAATCCTTTCCAAGTGCAAAAAACCAATAATTTTTGATTCCCATATTAAATATTTTTATTCTGTAATAAACAGAAATTCATCAAAAGTGACAGCTCTCAATTTTTTGACATTTGTAAATTCTAAATTGAATGAGAAAAATGAAATAATACTAAGCATAATACAATATTCTAGATTTAATTATAATTAGGAAAAAGTTAGTTTTGAGAGTACTTTTCATAGGCATATAGAATGAAATCTTCTGAAAAATAATATCACATAAACTCATATTATTTTCTAATATATAACTATTTTATATAAAAATCAAATTCAATGATCTTAAAAGCGAAGGATAAACCTCAAAATTTACGAATATAATGAGTGGGAATATAATGCTTATCTATCATAAAACCATATGAAATATCAATTTTTGCTTTACGCCTAATTTTTGACGACAATTAGCAAAAAATTGTTAAATGTTAACACTCAGTCCATTTGAATATGAAAAATAAAATTGACTTTGATTAAATGTTTTTATTTATCATGCAATTCTTCTTGCGACCAAAGATTTGAATAAAAGTTCAAAAAATAAGATAGCTTAAAAAATAATATACGGTAGTGTTTACTAATAGATGAATAGTATATAAATTCTATTAAAATGGATTTGATCCAAAAAAATATATAAAATTTGATCATAAATAAAATCGTTTTAAATTACTTCTTCATTTAAATTATAACAATTATTTTTGGTTTTATATTTTTTTGGATCAAATCCATTTTAATAGAATTTATATACTATTCATCTATTAGTAAACACTACCGTATATTATTTTTTAAGCTATCTTATTTTTTGAACTTTTATTCAAATCTTTGGTCGCAAGAAGAATTGCATGATAAATAAAAACATTTAATCAAAGTCAATTTTATTTTTCATATTCAAATGGACTGAGTGTTAACATTTAACATTTTTTGCTAATTGTCGTCAAAAATTAGGCGTAAAGCAAAAATTGATATTTCATATGGTTTTATGATAGATAAGCATTATATTCCCACTCATTATATTCGTAAATTTTGAGGTTTATCCTTCGCTTTTAAGATCATTGAATTTGATTTTTATATAAAATAGTTATATATTAGAAAATAATATGAGTTTATGTGATATTATTTTTCAGAAGATTTTGTGTACTTCTTCAAAATTTTATTTTTTTATTAAAAAGAATCTTTACAAAATATACATTTACTTTAATTAATATTTAAAAACGTGCTCTATCAAAAGTTCCAAAAATTCAATATTTTAGCTTTTCTAAGGTGTCACTTTTGATGAATTTCTGTTTACAACAATTCTTCAATAAAAAGCAAACAAGTGTTGCATGCTCAGTTCTGTCAACGATAGGAATTGAGGGGAAATTAATCGTCGAGGAAGTATGATTATGTAAAGTAAAAAAATGTTGTGGGATTTTTAATATTGTATATAATTTTATAATAAATTTTTGTGAGACATTTTAAGAAGCACATATAATTTTTTGAATTTAAAAATTAAAGTAGTGTTGAATGAATTTATTGATTAATTTAATACGGATATTTCTCAAAATTAATCAAAAATAGGTTTTCAGAGAACTTTTAAGATATCTTTTCAAAATGTCTTTTTGAAAATATATAAGTATTATATCAAATTGAAAAAAGGTATTTATCAAAATTCTAAATTCTTAATAAAAAATAACTTTTCAGAGGATTGTGATTTTGAAAGCATGAGTAATAAGTAAAAAATATCTACGATTTTAATGAGGGAATTGTTCCTTATGAGGTATACATTATAACTATATACCTCATAAGGAACAATTCCCTCTTGATAGCTGGGAAACTTTCTCTGAATAACTTATCATTTGGAGAAAGTTTCCCAGCTATCTATTAGAAACTAAAGGCTGTGAGGCACTAATATATAATCAGTGCCTCATAGCCTTTAGTTTCTTATTAAAAACGAGAAAACTTGTTCGAAATGATAAACAATTTCGAACAAGTTTTCTCGTTTTAAGGAGGGAATTGTTCCTTATGAGGTATACAGTATGAATATATACCTCATAAGGAACAATTCTTTCTTTAAATGGGAGAAACTTTGTCCGAATGTTAAACTATTCGGACAAAGTTTCTCCCATTTGTAGTGGAGATGGAAGGCTTTGAGGTATATTATATTAATATGTACCCCAAAGCCTTCCATCTCCACTTGAAAGTTCCAAAACTTTGGGTTAATGTCTTGCAATTAACCCAAAGTTTTGGAACTTTCTAGAAGGAATTGCAGGGTAAGAGGTATATATTCATACTATGTACCTCTTACCCTGCAATTCCTTCTTAAAATGGGAGAAACTTTGTCCGAATGTTAAACTATTCGGACAAAGTTTCTCCCATTTGTAGTGAAGATTGAAGGCTTTGAGGTATATTATATTAATATGTACCCCAAAGCCTTCCATCTTTATTGTACAATTTAAAAATTCAGGAAAAATGTAATAAGATTTTTATAAAAATTAACCGTTTATTCGTAATTGTGTATTCAATGGTTCGGTATTTCTTTGATTTCGAAGTGTCCATCAATCATAACTCTCCAAAATGGCGTTTCACCCTGTTTCCAATGTGGTGTCTCATTGTAACACTCTTCTGGAGTCATGGGGCGAAAACCATTTTTGGGAAGGGTTTTATGTGGTACTGAGTTGTAATTTTTCCTGAATTTATCAAGAAATTCTTGAATTTGTTTTGCATTTGAAGACCGGCCGACATTTCTTTCAAGAGACGGCCAGAGCCTTTCAATCTTGCCGTTCTGGCGCGGCATATGGGGGAGAGTGTGGCGGATTTGAATGTTGTTTCGCATGAGCCAATTATAAAATTGGCCCATATTCTCTCCCCCGTTGTCGGACCAGAAACAAAATGGCTTTTGATATAAGCCAATCGTTTCTTCGGCAACTCTTGTTGTAGATTCGGAAGATTTATTTGGCAAAATTTTTAAAGCCAACAAAAACCGAGATTTATCGTCTATTATACCATAAACAGGAGTTAGTATGGCTAAGTCGTGTACTGAGGCACTGCGCGCCTCCGTACACCACTTAACCTTAAATATTTACAAAACCGTTAACGTATATTTTACAACACAAACGACAACACTAACTTAACCTTAAATATTTACAAACCGCCAACCACTAACGACTTCATTAATGTAAAAATAAACGTTCTCACTTACAAAAGTATTGCAACTCCTCCCATTGCTGTGCTTCACATAACAGCTCATAATCTTCTGACTCACTTTCTTCTTCATATAGGTCAAAGTCACTGTCAAAATAAATGTTAGTAAGTTTTGACAAAGCTAATGAAACACGTTTACCGTTTGTATCGTATGCTTGTATAAACTTTCCATTCTTCATTCCTTCATAAACGCTCAAACTAACTTTACCCTTTCTCCCTCGTATCTGATAGAATGTATTTTCACGAGGAACGAAGAACAAATTCTTGAACTCATGACCGTTGTAGTTTGTTATCTCAATAGTTTTCGTCATTTATATAAAAATAAAATAAAAAATAAATGATATCACCACCCTCACACGTATGAAAACATAGCACAAAAATAATTTAGGTGAAGTGGTGAGATCTAACCTCTTTCTACCTCATTTCACCCTGTTGAATTCATTGCTTTATAACTCTCTTCCTTTCTCCAACTCTTCTAACTTCTTCTTAAGTTCAGCAATGTTGTCCTCATGAAGTTTAATCTTTCTCAAATTCCTTCTATCTAATGGTTGCTTTATCTTTCTAAACTGAACTCTACCATCCTTCATAGTATGAATGTAATAACCTTCTGGAATAGTTCCTGATTTAATGTATTCTACCAAAAACTTTTGTTTCATTGCTTCAGTGACTTTATTTGTCATTTCAATCAAATAAAAATTTTAATATTAAATAAAAATAACGTTATTTTTTCAGTAAGGAAACGCAGGAGTTTTACGATTTATTTGAGGAGTAGGTTCTGGTTTAAATGTTGGAGTCGGTTTAGGAGTTGACTTTTGAACAGGAGTTTGTACTTCCATAGGTTCAGGAGTCATTGAAGGTTTTGCTTGTGAAGGTGTTG